TAGACATGTGAATCATAGACCGGTTAATGAGCCTATATGGAATACTGATTTGATCTACATAAGGGGGTAGTAAAAGAAATAGAGAAAGGCCAAAGAAAACATGGAATGAGGTGCTATTAAAGGACATGATTAACTTGACCTTAACTGATGACATGACTTCGAATAGAATCAACTGGGAGAAATGGACCCATGTACCCAACCCCAAGAAATTGGTATAAAGACTTCCTGAGTTGAGTTGGAGTATTGAAAGACAGCCTCAAAGTCCCCAACTTAATCTTTTGGCAGGGGAATTATATTTGGCAGGAGGAGAAAGTTCTTTGTTTTTTTATTTTTAAAAAATAATAATAATAAAAAAGCGACCTTGAAAAGAGATATATGTTCCTTTTTATGCTGTAATTTTGAAAATAGCCTAATGGAAAAGACAAAACAAAGTAAAAAGGAGTAAAAAGGAGCAATCAAAGAGGCATTATTCTCAATCGGAGTGATCAAAACTAAATTACATGTGCCCACTAAAATATGTGCCTGGTGGAATCAAAAGAGCTTAGTGATGCACAATCCCCCAAACCCCATATTCCATAATAAGAGGGGGGGAAAAACAAAAAAAAAACAAAAAACAAAAGAACAGAGAAAAAAAAGAAAATGAGAGGTCACACATAGGCTAGCTAGAATTCAGTTAACTGGGTTTGAAACTTATGAAAGGCTATAAGCCACGCCTGCAGCCTTATTAGCCTGGATACAACTCTCAAAAACATTATATGTATTGTATCACAATACATACATACTTAACAACACAAGTATGGAAGGTTATTTTCTTAAAATCATTAAGTTTGATCTCAATTTCAAACGGGCAAATAATTTGAAAAACTAATTCATACCAGCCTCTCCAATATTGTTCTGTTTCTTCCAGCCGTGCACGGTGAATATAACTGCAAAATCAAGGCAGTCATGCCTATTAGGTCTAGGACTAGGATATAAAGCTTAATCAGAAACATATATATATATATAACCAAACTTTACAGTAAATCTACCTGCAAAGTTGATAATACACACCAAAAAAACAATCATAAGACGGTAAATTGGTGACCATAACAGATATACTGACCATTTTTTCGAATCATCAAACTTTAATGTGCTAGGGATGGATACACGAGCAGACTCAATGTTTCTTAAAGAACCACCTTTGACATTCCACTCGACCTATTTAGAGACATAGTCCAAATCAATATGACAGCCAAACTTCAACATTTAAAACAAACAGACATTTAGAAATATAGTGTCAACTTAAAAACTGTATGATCATATACTATGTTAGAAATAACAAAGTGGCCCATGAAATTTTGGAAAAGATACTATACCATGAAGCTTGTTTCCTACAATTCCATAAAAATCCACAGCTCTATGAGATAAATCGAGGGACAAGGAATTTTTCATACAAGAATACATGGCAAAAACCCTAATAATTGACTGACAACAAATTGTAATAACATAAATGTCATATATTATGGATAGAATGATATAAGGTTTAGAAAAGTTGAGTTTGGAAGAACAGAATGTAGGGGAAAATTATATCAAGATAGCACGTGAAGGATGTGAAAAGGAGTACAAGGGCCATGGAACTCAAACCACATCGACTGGGAACTACTGGAATTATTTTAAGCCAGATAATGCAAATACTGTTTCACTAACTGCTATTAATTAAATCATTGCCAACCTCAAATTTAATTACCTACATATCAAACAAAAAACATCAACTCCAATTCCCTAGGACTATTGTCTACTGCTTTTTGGCGTATATATTAAACTTACTGCACCATGAGCATGAACCAGAATACTTCCCCACTTGGGCAGTGCCCTCCTTGGATCCAAACCATCTTGACATGAATACAAGAACCTGTTAAATGAGGTCATTGTCAGATTTTGGCCTTCTGTCAAACACACTCCTATATAATAGGAATCCTTGTAATTACAATAGATCAACAATCTTGTAATAAATCAATCAATAATACATAAAATTTTACAGTTTGACTATTTTTTTAAAGAGCAGAGGGAGTATCTTGATGGCGGGATACAGGCACCCAGCACCACGGACACGAGTTATGATCACTAGGAGATCACCAACTCCCTAATTATGGGTTGGTTGATACATTCTATGGTTTTAGAGATTGGCGAGGGCTATCTATATATGGACACTGCACAAGATATTTGGGAGGCAGTGGTTACTACTTACTCCCGGAAGAGGAATTTCTCTCAGGCTTTCGAGTTACGTCAGTCCATTGAGAGGGTAGTACAGGGTGAGAAGACTGTTCTCCAGTATTTTACCTTCCATAGCAATGGGTGGAAGAGACTTAACCATCTTCAGGATTACAAGCCTATTTGTCCTACAGATTCTGTTGGTTATCGAAAATTTGTGAAGCAGAAGCGGGTCTTCAAGTTCTTTGAAGGCTTGAATGTGGAGTATGATCTGGTTCGAAGCAGAGTACTTAGTATGGACATGCTTCCTTCTCTCTAGGAAGCTTTCTCTTATGTGCAGAATGAGAAGAGTCGCCGCTCTACGATGCTTTCTTCTACCACTACTAATCGTTCTACCTTGGTCTCTACACCTTCCCAAGATGGAGAGCGTGTGTCTCGCGGTTCTCGTCCCTCATCTAATAAGGATAATCTTTTCTGTGACTACTGCCATAGACCTAGACACACGAGAGACTTGCCGGAAACTACATGGGACTCCTCCTGGTAGCCGAGGCGATCGTCCTGGTTCTCAAGGAGTAGGTCGAGCCAGTCTAGAAGCCGAGGGGCCAATGCTCGGGCTCATCTTTCTGACACGGTTGAGACACCACATTCAGCTCTTGTTGTCTCATCGGCTGCTGATATTTCTACGTTGTCTGCCTCAGAGTTTGAGATTGCTCTTCACCACTTGCTAGACCATCAAGCCTCTACTACTGTCTTCGATGCATCCTCTTCTCCCCTTGCCCACTCAGGTAACTTGGCTTCCTCTACAAGTGTATTATTATCTCATAAGACTGTTCATTGGATTATTGATTCTAGAGCTTCCGACCATATGTCTGCTTCTTCTAATTTGTTCTCAAAGCATACACCCTCCTCAAGTTAGGAAAAAGTGCGTATTGCTAATGATACGATTTCGTTTGTGTCAGGAAAAAGTTTAAGTCATCCTAACTCTTCCCTTCCTTTGACCTTTGTACTCCATATTCCCAATTTTAGTGTTAATCTTTTATCTTTGAGTCGTATTACTCGTGATTTGAATTGTAGCGTGACATTTTTTCCTGATCATTATCTTTTTCAGGACCTTATCATGAGAAAGAGGATTGGCAGTGGTAGAGAGGAACATGGTCTCTATATTCTGGATCAGTCACTGACAGACAATCAACTTCTGGATATTACACATTTGTTGGAGGCAACCTAATCACATGGCGAAGTAAGAAACAAAATGTGGTTACTAGATCTAGTGCTGAGGTAGAATTCAAGGCTATGGCTCAGGGTATATGTGAGTTTCTATGGATTAGACTATTGTTGGGAGACTTGGGGATTCATCAGACTAATTACATGAGATTGTACTGTGACAACGAGGCAGCAATCAACATAGCTCATGATCCAGCTCAACATGACAGAACCAAGCATGTGGAGATTGATAGGCAATTCATCAACGAAAAACTCACTAGTGGCACCATATGTACTCCATTTGTGAAGATTGGGAAACAACTAGCAGATATTCTCACCAAAGGAATAGGGAGCAAACCATTTCATGACATTCTTAACAAGTTGGGCATGAGAGATATCTTCGCACCAGTTTGAGGGAGAGTGTTGGAATAGGAAACAATATTTGTTATATTTTATTCTTATTTGATTTTATCTTCCCTTGATTGATGTAATGGGCTAGCCCATAATTTATGCCTAAACTCCTGTAATTACGCATTATTATCAATATAAAAAGGAATGAGATCTCACTCATTCCCTATCTCTTTCTCTTTTCTAAACTTTCAAAAGCATGTTTAGAAATGAGTGTAACTAAAATGATAATGTTGAGATAGATGAGTGGTGTTACAAGAAAAGATATTTTAAGAAATGAATTGATCGAGAAGTTAGAAATACCAATTACAGACAAATAAGGGAGAGCCATTTGAGATGATATAGACATGTGAATCATAGACCGGTTAATGAGCCTATATGGAATACTGATTTGATCTACATAAGGGGGTAGTAAAAGAAATAGAGAAAGGCCAAAGAAAACATGGAATGAGGTGCTATTAAAGGACATGATTAACTTGACCTTAACTGATGACATGACTTCGAATAGAATCAACTGGGAGAAATGGACCCATGTACCCAACCCCAAGAAATTGGTATAAAGACTTCCTGAGTTGAGTTGGAGTATTGAAAGACAGCCTCAAAGTCCCCAACTTAATCTTTTGGCAGGAGGAGCAAGTTCTTTGTTTTTTTATTTTTAAAAAATAATAATAATAAAAAAGCAACCTTGAAAAGAGATATATGTTCCTTTTCATGCTGTAATTTTGAAAATCGCCTAATGGAAAGGACAAAACAAAGTAAAAAGGAGTAAAAAGGAGCAATCAAAGAGGCATTATTCTCAATCAGAGTGATCAAAACTAAATTACATGTGCCCACTAAAATATGTGCCTGGTGGAATCAAAAGAGCTTAGCGATGCACAATCCCCCAAACCCCATATTCCATAATAAGAGGGGGGGAAAAACAAAAAAAAAACAAAAAACAAAAGAACAGAGAAAAAAAAGAAAATGAGAGGTCACACATAGGCTAGCTAGAATTCAGTTAACTGGGTTTGAAACTTATGAAAGGCTATAAGCCACGCCTGCAGCCTTATTAGCCTGGATACAACTCTCAAAAACATTATATGTATTGTATCACAATACATACATACTTAACAACACAAGTATGGAAGGTTATTTTCTTAAAATCATTAAGTTTGATCTCAATTTCAAACGGGCAAATAATTTGAAAAACTAATTCATACCAGCCTCTCCAATATTGTTCTGTTTCTTCCAGCCGTGCCCGGTGAATATAACTGCAAAATCAAGGCAGTCATGCCTATTAGGTCTAGGACTAGGATATAAAGCTTAATCAGAAACATATATATATATATAACCAAACTTTACAGTAAATCTACCTGCAAAGTTGATAATACACACCAAAAAAACAATCATAAGACGGTAAATTGGTGACCATAACAGATATACTGACCATTTTTTCGAATCATCAAACTTTAATGTGCTAGGGATGGATACACGAGCAGACTCAATGTTTCTTAAAGAACCACCTTTGACATTCCACTCGACCTATTTAGAGACATAGTCCAAATCAATATGACAGCCAAACTTCAACATTTAAAACAAACAGACATTTAGAAATATAGTGTCAACTTAAAAACTGTACAATCATATACTATGTTAGAAATAACAAAGTGGCCCATGAAATTTTGGAAAAGATACTATACCATGAAGTTTGTTTCCTACAATTCCATAAAAATCCACAGCTCTATGAGATAAATCGAGGGACAAGGAATTTTTCATACAAGAATACATGGCAAAAACCCTAATAATTGACTGACAACAAATTGTAATAACATAAATGTCATATATTATGGATAGAATGATATAAGGTTTAGAAAAGTTGAGTTTGGAAGAACAGAATGTAGGGGAAAATTATATCAAGATAGCACGTGAAGGATGTGAAAAGGAGTACAAGGGCCATGGAACTCAAACCACATCGACTGGGAACTACTGGAATTATTTTAAGCCAGATAATGCAAATACTGTTTCACTAACTGCTATTAATTAAATCATTGCCAACCTCAAATTTAATTACCTACATATCAAACAAAAAACATCAACTCCAATTCCCTAGGACTATTGTCTACTGCTTTTTGGCGTATATATTAAACTTACTGCACCATGAGCATGAACCAGAATACTTCCCCACTTGGGCAGTGCCCTCCTTGGATCCAAACCATCTTGACATGAATCCAAGAACCTGTTAAATGAGGTCATTGTCAGATTTTGGCCTTCTGTGCCACAGTACCTCAACTTTGTCCCCATTTGTCCCAGTTGGTGCAAACTTTTCAAAGATGAATAGCTTTTAATTTGGTCAGATTGGTTAAACCATTTATCCATCTAAACGTGATTTCTTTTGCCCCTCTCAGCAAAATGAACTTACTGTTTCATGATAATTGGGTGAAGACACGACTCAGATTCCCTCATTGGTGTGGATGCTTATGGAGCTGTGGATGCTCATGTTTGCGCACACGGCTCTATGGTTAGTTGGTTTCAGGGCTTCTTTTCATTTTGGCTATTGTGTCCTAGTTCGATGTATCTAAATCTAAGTTGGTGTTTCCAAGTATTAGGGAATGATTCAGAACCTCTTTTTATTAGATCCCTTCAGGGGTAATGGTTGAATTCCTCCAATTCCTTTACAGGACTGAGATTCTAGGTTTGACAGAATGAGGTGGAGGCATGACAATGAAAAGTTTTCAATGAATCGTATCAAGCACGGATACTTCAAATAGGGTGACATATCCATATCAGATATCGATACTCCTTGGACGCTCGCAGATAATACTTATTAAAAAGTATCGGATACTTCTTAATTAATTTTTCATTAATTTTGGAGTATTAGATACTTGATTTTGAAGTATCGGATACTCCAAGTCACGTATTACATGGTTTACGAAATTAGAATTGTAGCATTTCTTGCATAGTATTATAATATAATATAATTGCGAGGATAAATATGAAAACATATTTCTTATACTTTGTTTAGTTTTTTCATAAGAAGAACATAGTGAGTTAAATAATAGAATTTGTCAAATTGATGTATCCTAATTATTTCAAGCATATCTCCTATAACTAAATAGAAAGTAAAGATTAACAAGAGGATAAAACAATAGTAAAATGAACTATCAATAAATAAATAAGCAAGTAAACTTGAATACAACATTTTTTTACTAGTGCCAAAGGGAAAAGCACAGAACAAGTTGTGGATTGTATATTAGACTTCATATTGAAATCAAATATTTGCAAGACCTATTGAAAATTTAAAAAGTAAACAAGCTACTAGCTTAAATTAAGACTTAATTCTTAAAGGTTAATATTTTGCATTATAAAATTACATTGTAGTTTCTCAACATTCTTTAGCTTATGTGTAACTCACTATTAATAATTTTAAAAATATATTTGTCATAACCGTATCCTTAGTCGTACGCGTATCCTATTTTTTAGGTTTTGTTATATTGCCATACCCTCATTGTGTCCGTATCCATGCTTCCTTTGATCATTGGCATGGGCAAAAGATTCCTTTCCCTTCAAGGAGTATTTGGAAAACAGGGACAGGGGGTACCCACGAAGGAAGGATTTTTGTGCAGACACCTTGGATTCCATTCTTACCAGGGTGAAGACAAGATTTAGATTCCATAATTGGCGTCGCATGCAAGCTTCTGGAGTGTTTGGAATGCGGTTGTAGATTGAAGAGGTAAAAGAAAGCCTGGACGGTGGTGCCACTATGTATGATGTAGTGTTTGATGGGGGAAAGAAACTGTCGCACTTTGGAGGACAATGAATCACTAGCGCAGAAGCTAAAAATTTCTTAATTCCAAAGTTTCCATTTTTGGGGTTTTATAACAAGTTGGGGTTTCAATCAGTCACAAAGAAAAAGAGAGCAAGAGAGAGATAATTTTTTACAATGAAACAAGAACAATAAGAATATATAGCTTTCTGACACTAATTTTTCGTTCTATCTTTTGGTTCTTTCTTTTTGGATTATATAGGCAAAGGGAGAAATACCACAGGAATACGAAATATTTTTATATTACAAAATGTAGTTTAGATAACACTCCCCATTTCATTGTATCCGTATCCATGCTTCCTTTGATCATTGGCATGGGCAAAAGATTCCTTTCCCTTCAAGGAGTATTTGGAAAACAGGGACAGGGGGTACCCACGAAGGAAGGATTTTTGTGCAGACACCTTGGATTCCATTCTTACCAGGGTGAAGACAGGATTTAGATTCCATAATTGGCGTTGCATGCAAGCTTCTGGAGTGTTTGGAATGCGGTTGTAGATTGAAGAGGTAAAAGAAAGCCTGGACGGTGGTGCCACTATGTATGATGTAGTGTTTGATGGGGGAAAGAAACTGTCGCACTTTGGAGGACAATGAATCACTAGCGCAGAAGCTAAAAATTTCTTAATTCCAAAGTTTCCATTTTTGGGGTTTTATAACAAGTTGGGGTTTCAATCAGTCACAAAGAAAAAGAGAGCAAGAGAGAGATAATTTTTTACAATGAAACAAGAACAATAAGAATATATAGCTTTCTGACACTAATTTTTCGTTCTATCTTTTGGTTCTTTCTTTTTGGATTATATAGGCAAAGGGAGAAATACCACAGGAATACGAAATATTTTTATATTACAAAATGTAGTTTAGATAACACTCCCCATTTCTTTACATATCAAAAATGAGGGGGGAAAACAGCATCACATTTTACTAGTTGCAGGAAAACACTAGCTCATAAAATTTATGAATATTTCAAGTTAAATTTTTTTGGGTAAATTACAGTAACCTCCCCTAAGGTTTGGAGAAAATAGAGTAAGCCCCATAAGTTTGGCATAATTACATTGTGCTCCCTTAAGGTTTTAATTCACAGAACATTTCACCCCTTTTCATCATAAATATGTTGGTCATATGGATGAAAAAATGATGTTGTCGTCACTTTTACACTGAAATGTATATTTTACCTTATTTTATCGTTGTCTTCACACCATCTACGGTCCTTTAGCCTTACTAAAACGAATATCAATGTAATTATGTCAAAATTGTGGGGTTGGTTGTATTTTCTCCAAACCTCATGGGGGACCGGTGTAATTTACCCAAAAAATATTTAAAGCAATGACATACAAGCTGCATAAGATTAATTTAAACTACAATAGCCACAACCATAAAATAAGTGAAGGGTAATGTGTGACAGCCTCAATCAAAGGCATCACTTACTGCTTTCTCGATGGTTGAAAAGTATTGCATTCTGCCTGATAGAATTTTCTGCATGTGCATCAACGATGCCATGGCTGTTCCCTGAAATTGCATTGTCAATAAAGCTTCAATTAACCACTAACAAAGAAATATAGGCAATGCTCGGAAGGTTTTCAGTTAAAAACCAAACCTCAACAACATCCACAACAATTAGCCCACACAACCTAGATAATTCTTTCTTTGCAGCAACGTGAACCGCAACTGAGCCTCCCATGCTGCAAAACAGTTTCAGCAATGTAAATTCAAGCATTGATTATTAAGATAGCAAAATAAGCATCAATATGAAGTTTTTGTGTGTACTGATAAAATAAAATCCCTATTAAATTAGGCCATGAACTACTAATAGCAGGAAAATCATAAACTTACAAGTCATTATTGCTCTCAAGCCTTAAAAGTCTCCTCAATAAAGATTAAATGCATCACTATGTTAGCCTATTAAGAACTAGGTGAAAAAGAAAATAGCTCAATACATCAAATCTTAAAAGTTGTAATTTTGAATTTTGTCAACAAAGGGGTAACATCTACTACAATTTCCTCTAAAAAGCTTTACTTAATTGTAATACAATGGACTAAAAGAAAAGAAGAGGACGAAGACTCATTATTTTGTCTATATGGATTGTACTTAAAGAAAAATCATAATTTAGTGGGCTTGCCCTTTATGAAGTTTTCCTGTGGAGATCATACATTAATTACTAATTTGTCATTCTTAGACGAATACGGCTAGCCCTAAAAGGGTGGGTCAGCCATTGTGGATAGCACATTTTGGTAAGGAGGGAACCCATGTGGCAATTCTCTACGTGCCTCTTGTCAGTATGCTTTGGGTATTGGATTGGATTGAGTTCTTTACTCAATTTTGGTTTTTGATCTGCTAACCATTTTTGTAAGTTTTGGGGGTATGTATAGCTTTGTGGCAGGTTTCTGTAAAAAACCAAAAAAATCAACTTATAATTTCCTAATTATAGTGAATCTGTTTATTATCATGTGTATGTATTACGGATGATCCATGTTAGATCTTTTTCTTTTTCATTTGCTCTATCATTAGTACTTTTCACTCATTTTTTGCCTGCAAGTATGACTAAGCAATATATTGCACCATGTAACAAACAAAGTATACCAGGGGTCATGTATTAGTACTCCAGTCATTTGTAATTGTAGTGCTTATAGAAATTGCAAATTATCCCTTTGGATTTTACAACGAAGAAGAAGAAGTAAAATGCTCCCACTGCCGTGCTCTAGCTACTACCATTTTGGTTGATTGTTTCCATAACATTTGGTTAAAAACAATATTAGTTTAGTTCCCATTCACCTCTTGCTCCCAACCCTCTCAAAACAATCAAAACAGCAATTTCAACACTACAAGATGTTAGACCACGATGACTAAAATTAGAATAATACTCAAGCACTTAAACTCAAAACTTGGCTTGATGTTCAACATCTCGTATGCCACATGAAGTCATAAATTATTAAAAAGAGAATAAACAACGCAAAGTTTAACTTTCGTCTGTTTTAACATATAAATTTGTCTCAATAATGTTAGCACAAGTTTTTTTTTCTCTTCATGAAAGAATTCCTATGGTGATTATTGTACAATTTTGTAATTTAGAGCTGTAGTAACTTATCAAAAGGCTCACAACCTGTGGCCAACAAGCACAATTGCAGGGGGAGAATCGCCGTACATTGTCTTCAAAACAGCAATCACATCATTGCATAGAGTCTGCAACCAATAGAATAGCACTTAAATTCAAGCAAAGAGACGGGTATAAAAAAAATGTTTGGTGATTAAAAAAAAAAAACCCAGATGATGTGCATGAGTAGTGGAACACATCCTTTTCAGTAGTTCTAGTATATCCAAAAAAATACATACCTCTATTGATAGGTCGAGTTCATTTTCCGTGGAAGATTTCCCATGTCCTCTTAGGTCCATGGCTACTACCCTTGACTTTTCCTTAAGTTTACTAGCTGCCAATGCAAATGAAAGCCTGTTCAAATGAATTTTGTCATGTACCAAGGTAAACAAGTCATAGAGCACTCGAAATAATAATATCAGCATAAGCAATCTTTATTCTTTTTTCTGTTTTTGGTTCTATTTCAATCTAGAACTGCAGCCATATAAAAGTAAGAAATACACAACAACAAAACAATGTGAATTTTTTTTTTTTTTTTTTTTTTAGAACTGCAGCCATATAAAAGTAAGACATACACAACAACAAAAAATGTGAATTTTTTTTTTTTTTTTTTTATTGTAGTGGAGAATCTGTACGAGATCATTGACAGAACGGAAATAAAGTTGCAAGTTAAATTTTCTGTAATTCTGATAAATAAATAAAAGAAATTAAACTCCTTTCCCTTTAAAAATTATATTATGAAATTACTATTCAAAGTGAGCCCTCTTCACTACTTATTTCTCTTGTTTCAAACTGCTATATGTTACAGTTTTGTCTTTTTCTGAATACAATAACTAAGAAAGCCAGAAAGATAAAATATTGCACCACAATATAGACTATTTTGATTCTCCTTCTATATTAGTTTGTTGATAACCTCACTAAAGTTTACATAATATTTTGTATTAGTCTGGATTTCAGGATTCTCGTAAGTCATGCATTAGAAATACTATGAAAGAATATAAGACAATTCTATTAAAATAAAATCAAACGCACCCAGAATAACCACCTCCATGCAGACAAAAAATAACTGGTCCATCTGATCCTGCTTTATAAATGTGAAAAACCTAAAATGAAAAGGCATGTAAATAATTCCACCCTAAAAAATAACAATAATAATAAGAAAGGGAAAAATTAAAATAATGAAAGAAACTTTCGCACATATTCAATAGCTAAAAGGAGAAGAAAAAAAAAAATTACTTACATCATTCGAATCTGGAATGTGAATATCATCTTCTTGGTCAAAATAGCCCAACCAATCCAAAGGTGAGTATTTTTGTGAAGAAGTCCTACAAGAACAAATGGTAAACAACAGATAGTGATCATTATTCACACTAAAGGACGATTATCAACTTGGCCAGTCCTGCATCAATGGAAAAATCATTATTTAAGTGGCTTTTTTTTGTCTTTAGTAGACTTTTTCAATTTTTTTGGATTTTAAGAGATTTAGAGTAAAAGTCCCTGGAATTTTAAAAATATAAATTAAAATTTTAACAGTCCACTAAAGATGACAAAAGCCAATTATAAAAGCTGTTTTTTTCACTGCTATGCCAAATTAAGCATAATTTATGGGGTTCAGAACAATGGTTGGCAATTAGATTCTCTAGTGGTTAATTGGAGAAATTCTTGAGTTCCATGGAAATTAATTTCTCAAGGTATATCTCGTTTCTCCTGATTTATTTGTTTTACTGTGGGAAATAGGGAGAATATCCGCTTCTCGAAGGATGTATGGGGGGTAAGGTTTCTTTCATTTATTTACTTCCTCATTTGTGTCAATTATCTCATTCGCATAATGCTTCTATTGCTTCTATTGTATATTCTTATTCAACACCATTTGTTTAGAACTTCAATTTTTCAAAAATCTTAATGATCTGAGATCAATGAACTTGTTTCTTTGTAATCTATTATTCATGATATTCTTTTTGAAATATTTTTTTGATAAATAAATAAGTTTTTATTGAAAGAGCATCAAGATGATGCAAGAAAACAAGGCCTAAACCGTAAAAAGTAAAGACCAACTCCTAACCAAGAATGTCATCTAAGAACTCTAAAAAAGCAAATAAATCCGGATCAAACTTCCATTCCAACCAACTATACAAAACTATAAAAAGGCGATTCTCAAGCCAAGAAACAAAGTGATGAAGCTCTTGAAAAGTGCGCCGATTCCACTCCAACCAAACTAACCACAACAAGGAAAAGGGCGCCAAAGACCACGCTTGGCGCCGCCGACAACCCACCCAAGATCCATGCCAACTCCACAACATGTTCATCACCCTCCCCGGTTGAACCAAATAAATCCCAAAAATAGAGCAAACAAGTCCCCACAACCGACTAGCCACAGAACAATACAAAAACAAATGATCCACGGACTCCGCATCAACACAACACATACAGCATCGATTCACAAGAAAATAACCACGCCACACCAAGTTATCAATCGTAAGATTTCGCCCTAAAGCTGCCGTCCACATAAAGAACACCACCTTCGAAGGAACCCCTAGCACCCAAATACTCCGCCAAGGAAAATCACTCCTCATCTCCCCCACCAAACTCCGATAGTAGTATGACACAGAAAAACACCCCTTGGCCCCCACAACATTCCACCCTAAGGCATCCTCCCCCACCCCAGTCACACCCAACCCATACAGAAAATCCCATAATACCAGCAATTGCTTAACCTCCCAATCTTGAACCAGCCACTGCAAATGAATATCCCAAACAACCATATCTCTACCCCCCAAATCAAAGAAAAACGATCAGCCAACAAATCATCACCATACCACCGATCCTTCCAAAAGCGCACCCTCAACCCAGCACCTATCCGGAACCACACCTTTTCCCAAAACTCCACTTGCCCCAACCAAACTCCTTTCCAAAGACCACAACCATGAAAAGTCGTCACCTCCCCAAACCCCTAACCCCAGCCAGCCCATACTTCCGAGCCACCACCCGTCACCAAAGGCCCTCTGGTTCCACCACAAAGCGCCACAACCACTTACCCAACAAGGCTTGGTTAAAGACCACCAAACTTTGAACCCCCAAACCCCCAGCCTCTTTGTGTTGACAAATCTACCCCCAATCCACCAAATGGTAGCTAAAAACATCTCCCCCATTGCCCCACAGAAAGTTGCGTTGGAGCTGTTCCATACGCCGAGCCACCGAGACCGAAACAACATGCAAAGACATGAAATACGTCGGAATACTACTCAACACACTCTTGATCAAAGTCAACCTGCCCACACCCCTTTTTCCGACGTTGGGCTCCACAACTCCGACGTTAAAGTCGCTCCACAACTCCTTTCCACACCCTTTTTGCCTTAAACGAAGCCCCCAACGGCAGACCCAAGTAAGTTGCTGGCAAGACCGACACCTAGCATCCCAATACTGCGGCCAATATAGAAAGCCTCTCCACCTTCCCTACCGAAATTAACTCTAATTTCCGCAAATTAACCTTAAGACCCGAAACCACCTCGAAGCATAACAAGACACATCTCAAATATCCTACTTGCTCCGCCACCGGCCCACAAAAGATCAAAGCGTCATCGGCATACAACAAATAGGCGCTCCCGGAGGGGAACCCACCCAAAAACCTTCAATCAAACCTTCAAGGGCAGCCCTGTCCAACAAGCAACTCAACGCCTCTATTACTAAAATGAACAAAAGTGGCGACAAAGGATCCCCCTGACGAAGACCACGATATGTTGGAAAGAAACCTGCCGGTGTACCATTGACCAAAACAAACATCCAAACAGTGGAAATACAAAACAGAATTCACCGACACCAAGTCTCTCCGAACCCCATACGGCCCATAACATACAACAAAAACTCCTACCGGACATTATCATAAGCCTTCTCAATATCCAACTTACAAATCAAACCCGGTAAGTCTTGCTGAATCCGGGAATCCACACACTCATTTGCCAGCAGCACTGCATTCAAAATCTGCCGACCCCCCACAAACGCATTTTGAGAATCAGACACAACCACCGGCAATACCCCACGAAGCCTATTCGCCAAAATTTTAGCCAAAAGCTTGTACACACTACCAAGTAAACTAATAGGCTTGAAATCCCGGATATCCACTGGCCCTCCTTTCTTAGGGATCAAAGCCAAAAAGGTTGCATTAAAACTCTTCTCAAAGTGCCCTGACACGAAGAAAGCCTCCAAAGCTGCCATCACATCCGATTTAATCACATTCCAACAATGTTGAAAGAAAGCCATGGTAAAACCATCCGGACCTGGTGCCTTGTCCCCACTCATCGCTCACAAGTCTCCAAAAACCTCCTCTTCCGAGACAGGACACTCCAAAGCCATGCTGTCCTCTACTGATAACGTGCTAAAAGGAACCCCATCCATTCCAGGCCGCCACATCTCTGCTTGAGGCCGAAACAAATGCTGATAAAAGGACACAATCCCCTCCTGAATCGCCTCCTCCATATCCAGTTCCCGACCATCCACCCGTAACCTATTAATCTGATTCACCCGACGATGAGCATTAGCCATACGATGAAAAAACTTAGTATTCCGGTCCCTTGCCTTCAACCACAAGCACCTAGATTTCTGGCGATAACTCACTTCCTCCATGCGAGCAATACAAACATAATCCTATCGAGCTGCCTCCTTCCTCGCCACATCATTAGCTGACAAACCCCCAGTAACCTCTAAAACGTCCAGAGAGTGAAGAAGAGCCACCACCTTTGCCTTCTAGCCCTCCAACCGAACAAACACCTCCTTATTCCACCTCTTCAGATCCCCCTTTAACAATTTCAATTTCTGAGCTAAACGACAGGTAGGCAATCCGGTCACCACATAACTGGTCCACTAGCTACGGACCACCTCCAAGAAACCATCGAATTGCAGCCACATATTCTCAAACCGAAAAGGCGTTGGACCGCACCGAGTGCCCCACTTTCGAGGAGAAGAGGCCAATGATCTGACACCGGACGAGGCAAACAAGTCTGAAACGCAGCCGCAAAATGTTCCTCCCCATTCCCTGAAAGTAGGAACCGATTAATCCGAGACAAACTCCGGCCATTTGACCACGTGAAACTCCCCCTATGAAGAGGTATATCAATCAACCTCAACTTATCAATGAAATAGCAAAAAGCTCGCATCGAACTCAACACTCGGGTGCTCCCCACCTTCTTTGACGGCCACCGGACCAAATTAAAATCCCCTCCCTCACACACCATGGCGCCGCCTGTCGAAAAGCCACATTTTCTAACTCGGATATGAACTCTCCCTGATCTAATTTCCGCACCGGGCCATATACCCCAGTAAACACCCATTGAAACTGATCCTTCACGCACCGAAACAAGCAAGACACCGAAAAACCACCCACCTCCTCCTCCTCCAGCACAACCACCCTAGAGTCCCAACACAAAAGTATCCCACCGACTGTACCAACGACTGGCAGATACAGCCACTCCACAAATCTCCCCCCTCCAAATCTCCTTCACCACCTCCCTGCCCACCATCTTCATCTTTGTTTCCTGCAAACACACCACATCCGCACTAGCACTGCGCAAAATTACTTTCACCGCCATCCTCTCGTCCCTATCATTCAGGCCTCGCACGTTCCAAGATAAAAATTTTAACTTCATTTCAACAAAAGTGGTCCCCCACGGGTTCGTCTACAGTCACGACCCACCTTCGAACCTCCCTGGTCATAATTAATTGAACAGACCAAATTCTTGAGCTCCCCTTGCCCTTTTCCAACATTCCTTACTGGAGTAACCATCGCCTGACTAGAACTCCCTTGCCGCCATGACGCCTCTACTGCCGAAAACACCTCCCCAGACCCCCAACCCCAGCCAACCCATACTTTCGAGCCACCACCCGTCGCCAAAGGCCCTCTGGCTCCACCACAAAGCGCCACAACCACTTACCCAACAAGGCTTGGTTAAAGACCACCAAACTTTGAACCCCCAAACCCCCAGCCTCTTTATGTTGACAAATCTGCCCCCAATCCACCAAATGGTAGCTAAAAACATCTCCCCCATTGCCCCACAAAAGTTGCGTTGGAGCTGTTCCATACGCCGAGCCACCGAGACTGAAACAACATGCAATGACATGAAATACGTCGAAATACTACTCAACACACTATTGATCAAAGTCAACCTGCCCACACCCTTTTTGCCGATGTTGGGCTCCATAACTCCGACGTTGAAGTCGCTCCACAACTCCTTTCCACACCCTTTTTGCCTTAAACGAAGCCCCCAACAACAGACCCAAGTAAGTTGCTGGCAAGACCGACACCTGGCATCCCAATACTGCGGCCAATACAGAAAGACTCTCCACCTTCCCTACCGGAATTAACTCTGATTTCCGCAAATTAACCTTAAGACCCGAAACCACCTCGAAGCATAACAAGACACATCTCAAATATCCTACTTGCTCCGCCACCGCCTCACAAAAGATCAAAGCGTCATCGGCATACAACAAATAGGCGCTCCCGGAGGGGAACCCACCCAAAAACCTTCAATCAAACCTTCAAGGGCAGCCCTGTCCAACAAGCAACTCAACGCCTCTATTACTAAAATGAACAACAGTGGCGACAAAGGATCCCCCTGACGAAGACCACGATATGTTGGAAAGAAACCTGCCGGTGTACCATTGACCAAAACAAACATCCAAACAGTGGAAATACAAAACAGAATTCACCGACACCAAGTCTCTCCGAACCCCATACGGCCCATAACATACAACAAAAACTCCTACCGGACATTATCATAAGCCTTCTCAATATCCAACTTACAAATCAAACCCGGTAAGTCTTGCCGAATCGAGGAATCCACACACTCATTTGCCAGCAACACTGCATCCAAAATCCGCCGACCCCCCACAAACGCATTTTGAGAATCAGACACAACCACCGGCAATACCCCACGAAGCCTATTCGCCAAAATTTTAGCCAAAAGCTTGTACACACTACCAAGTAAACTAATAGGCTTGAAATCCCGGATATCCACTGGCCCTCCTTTCTTAGGGATCAAAGCCAAAAAGGTTGCATTAAAACTCTTCTCAAAGTGCCCTGACACGAAGAAAGCCTCCAAAGCTGCCATCACATCCGATTTAATCACATTCCAACAATGTTGAAAGAAAGCCATGGTAAAACCATCCGGACCTGGTGCCTTGTCCCCACTCATCGCTCGCAAGGCCCCAAAAATCTCCTCTTCCGAGACAGGACACTCCAAAGCCATGTTGTCCTCCACTGACAACGTGCTAAAAGGAACCCCATCCATCCCAGGCCGCCACATCTCTGCTTGAGGCCGAAACAAATGCTAATAAAAGGACACAATCCCCTCCTGAATCGCCTCCTCCATATCCAGTTCCCGACCATCCACCCGTAACCTATTAATCTGATTCACCCGACGATGAGCATTAGCCATACGATGAAAAAACTTAGTATTCCGGTCCCTTGCCTTCAACCACAAGCACCTAGATTTCTGGCGATAACTCACTTCCTCCATGCGAGCAATACAAACATAATCCTATCGAGCTGCCTCCTTCCTCGCCACATCATTAGCTGACAAACCCCCAGTAACCTCTAAAACGTCTAGAGAGTGAAAAAGAGCCACCACCTTTGCCTTCTGGCCCTCCAACCGAACAAACACCTCCCTATTCCACCTCTTCAGATCCCCCTTTAACAATTTCAATTTCTGAGCTAAACGACAAGTAGGCAATCCGGTCACCACATAACTGGTCCACTAGCTACGGACCACCTCCAAGAAACCATCGAATTGCAGCCACATATTCTCAAACCGAAAAGGCGTTGGACCGCACCGAGTGCCCCACTTTCGAGGAGAAGAGGCCAATGATCTGACACCGGACGAGGCAAACAAGTCTGAAACGCAGCCGCAAAATGTTCCTCCCCATTCCCTGAAAGTAGGAACCGATTAATCCGAGACAAACTCCGGCCATTTGACCACGTGAAACTCCCCCTATGAAGAGGTATATCAATCAACCTCAACTTATCAATGAAATAGCAAAAAGCTCGCATCGAACTCAACACTCGGGTGCTCCCCACCTTCTTTGACGGCCACCGGACCAAATTAAAATCCCCTCCCTCACACACCATGGCGCCGCCTGTCGAAAAGCCACATTTTCTAACTCGGATATGAACTCTCCCTGATCTAATTTCCGCACCGGGCCATATACCCCAGTAAACACCCATTGAAACTGATCCTTCACGCACCGAAACAAGCAAGACACCGAAAAACCACCCACCTCCTCCTCCTCCAGCACAACCACCCTAGAGTCCCAACACAAAAGTATCCCACCGGCTGTACCAACGGCTGGCAGATAGAGCCACTCCACAAATCTCCCCCCTCCAAATCTCCTTCACCACCTCCCTGCCCACCATCTTCATCTTTGTTTCCTGCAAACACACCACATCCGCACTAGCACTACGCAAAATTACTTTCACCGCCATCCTCATGTCCCTATCATTCAGGCCTCGCATGTTCCAAGATAAAAATTTTAACTTCATTTCAACAAAAGTGGTCCCCCACGGGTTCGTCTACAGTCACGACCCACCTTCGAACCTCCCTGGTCATAATTAATTGAACAGACAAAATTCTTGAGCTCCCCTTGCCCTTTTCCAACATTCCTTACTGGAGTAACCATCTCCTGACTAGAACTCCCTTGCCGCCATGACGCCTCTACTGCCAAAAAAAGTCGCAAGGCCTCCTCCTCATGTCCTTCAAATGACAATTCCAACACACGGCTGACCTCACTAATTCGTTGCAACACCCAATCCGAGACTTCCTCAGTCGCCCGCACGCCATTCTTGTCCAGTTCACTGCTACAAGAGGCATCAGTTGGAGGCGCACCCTTGAAACTTCCCTAGTTTGCCACTTCCACATCTAACGGTTTTATCACCAAAGCCAAATTCAGCCTCTCCTCCACACCATCTAACTCGGATGCAGCCCTATCTGCCCATGACAGCCCATCGTGCCTCACCTGCCCAGGTCGCATCTCCTCAACTTCAGAGGAAGAAGATTCAAAGCAAAGGCTATTTCGATCGGCCTCGAAAGTGGACCCAATTTGAAACCCCTCGTCATTCGACGCACAGCGCACCACCATCGCGAACGGCGAACCCTGATGCCAATTATAAATGAAAGTAGAGTACTTGTGCAAATCCTATTTTGATAAGATTATTGAAGATCCAACTGTACCATTGTTTGATCCTAATAAAATGATTTGAAGTGCAAGCATGCCACTTAAGGTAATAAGAGTATTTACATTACTTGGGCTCAATAAAAAACTTAATACTAATAACATGGTTCAAATAAGGATACCTAGTTGCCATTTACATTGACAATGGTGTGTTATGGGTAGAGGGGATGAGGACATCACTGATCATTTATTTTTGCATTGTCATGTTGCCTTGGCATTATGCTTGAGATTGCTTCAATTAGAAAATATTACCTTCCTCTTGTGTTCAGATGCTATTGTTTGATTTTAGAACGTTTGACTCCAATAGGAGAGCCCAAGTTCTTTAGTAATGTGTAATTGTACGGTGTTTTAGGCTTTGGTTGGAAACAAATGCGAGAACATTTTATAAAAATGATGAAAATATAAAGGGTTGATGGGATAAAATTTGTTATTGAACTTCGTTTAGGGTATCAATGTCACCTTCTTTCTGGGGGTTCTTTTATTTTTTATTCGTAAAAATGTGAGAATTGTGTCTTAAATATAATTTTGTTATCTTTTTTAAGTGGATCAATTTGTACATTTCTTTATTCCTTATTCAAAAAAAATATATATTTGTTTCTTTAAAAAAAATGCTCAAGTATACTACAAGTGCCACAATACTCCTAAGATATAAGAACAAAAGAGAGTGAAATGATAGTGTTATATCTCTATGTTTTGACAATTTAGAATAGACATAAAGAGAAGATAATGAGTTGTCATCTACTCTAATTTGGAGGAACAAAAATGAAAACCGCATCTCACATATAGTAAGGGCAAAACTAAAACTATTAATTCCATCTCACTTTTCTCCAAATCTCTGTAATGGGTGCTTCTAAATACGCCTCCAATTTTTTTTTTCAAAAACCATTTTCTCTCTAATTTCTCCAAATAAATTTGAAAAACACATGGTTTCTCTAAACACACCCATAATAACAAAACTAGCCCCACCCTCAACCCACAGCTCAAAAAATCATTTCTACAACCTGATATATCAACCATCTTGTTAGAAATTTATTTGGGAGTATTTAGTGTGATTTTTTAATAGATACATGTGAAAAAAAACATGTAAAAAACTTCATTCAAAACTCTGTTCAACCGTAGTTCACTGAACAAACTAAGGTTTGTCCACCCTAGTTCACTAAGCATCCTTAGCTTGCTCAGACAACTAAAGTCCAATATTTGATCACCCACATTTGTCGAGTATGTTTGGTCACATTAGTGGGTGATCACATTGTGATGGAAAATACACAACTTTTCATTGCTAGAATCCTCCCATTAAATGTAAATAATGCAACAAATACTATAATTCACCAGATTGATAACTTGTGATTTTGAGTCAGAATCAGAATGGGAAAAGGAGTTTAGGACTTAGGATGATTGGCATATGGTGGGTGTGGAACGAAAATTGGACTTTTCTTTTTTTTTTTTTAAAGTAATTTCTCTCCTTAACTGTAATTTTGCTTAGGGGTAATACTGCAATAAAAAATTTCATATATTGCTGGATGTAAGGTGAAAATGGGATGTATTTAGAAGCATTCCTCTCTAATTTTGGAGAGATTCAAAGTGGGTATTAAGTGAAAACTCTTTCTCCCCAGTTCTCTCCAATCAAGCTACCCAAATTTTCTTTTTCTCTCCAAATCCCCCAATCCAAACTGGCTGTTAGTCACTCACATTCCTGGTTTATGCATATACAAATGTCCTCACATACATACATGATTCAAAATTGAGCAAACTGTCAAAAAAATCTTTCTTTTGGGGGATCTCGGAAATGGAATACACAACCAATAGACGATCGTTACAATCCAGATAAAAATGTGTATAAAAAGTAAAAATTTAAACATTGAAAAAGTAATTAAAAGAAGGTAATTGGGAGGAGAAGTAGAGAGGACTCACTGAACAGCAGGGCGAACAGGAACAGAGGAAAAGGCAGAAGGGATATTCGGTTGCTTGGTGTGCTGTTGTTCTTCTTCTTCTTCGGGAAGCGATGCCATGGTTGAAGAGTTGGACGATGAATCCATTTCTTCGATTCTTTCTTTTCTTTTGTAAAGAAATTTCAATTCGACCTCTTTCGCTCCCTGTGTGTGCTATACGGTAGGGTCGCACTTGCACATTTTGCGTAATAACCCTGAACCTTTTTTTTTATTATTATTGTTTTTATTTTAATGCCCCCAGAAAACCCAGGCAAGGCCTCAAGGAAAAATTAGTCTATCTATTTAAAAAAAAGAGGAGGGATCAACACACTTACCACTCCACACCCATGTGACAGACAGTGATTAGAAAATAAGAAAAACAAAAAAAAAAAAAAAAAAAAAAAATTAACCAAAAAGAAAAAGAGAGGGAAAAAGGGGGAAAAAAAAAAAAAAAAAAAAAAAAAGTATCTTAGACATTTTTGTTAAAAAGAAATGATTGAGGCCTCCAATTTGAGGTTTGAATTTGCCTCGAAATCATTTTTTTTTTTCTTTTCTTTTCTTCCAAAGCTGTTTTAGTTTGGTTTTTTGTTTTTAATTTTTTTTTCTCTCGTTTCTTTATAGGGGTGATTATGTATCAGGGTATACTAAAAAATTAGACATTTTGTAAGTAAGTTAGGTTGGACTGATTGGGTATTAAAATTGACTAATTAATTTTTTTTTAATTTTATTTTATTTTATTTGTTAGGCTCTGTTGGTTTTTTTTTTTAAAGGTGGTTATGTGTAGGGGGTGTGCCAAAAAATTAGACATCCTATACTAACTCATCGTACAAAATTATATGGAATTAACGAATTTTAACCAACAGTCTAACTGATCAGTCAATTAAATTGGACTGGTTAAGTGATAAAATTGACTGATTAGTAAACTGGTGGTTAAATTTTGTTAATTTCAAATAATTTTATATGATGAGTTGGTGGAAAATGTATAATATTTTATATTAGACTTGCAAAAAAAAAAAAAAAAAAAAACAACAAAAAACCCCAAAACCCAAAAAAAAAAAAAAACAAACAAAAAAAAAACGCTATTCGAGCCAAATTCGAGGCCTTGAATTCGAGGCCTCTATCACTATTGCTATTTAAATTATCAAATTTTTATTTAAATAGTAAAGGATTCAAATTCTAATCAATAACGAAGAGGAGCAAACTTCCTTATCAACTAGAATGATTCGTTGATGGTAATCCTGAACTTACCGTATCATATTTTGCCTTAAAATCTCATATATAATGTTACAATTATTATATTTTTATGTGTAATGCTACTTATATTTAAAAAATTAAATTTATTAACTAATTAACTCATTTACATATTATTGAGTCAAAAAAATTAATATATATAATATTTTTTATTTGATATCATATTTTATTTACTATTTTAATTATCTTTTTATATTAATTTAACAACTCTCATCAGTCATATGAGTAAAACTTCTACTTTTATTAGGTTTATTTGGAGAAGATAATTAAAAGTTAATATTTCAGTTTTTTTAACCTTTTTTAAAAAAACGTGTAAAAAATATGTGAGATGATGTGACTTAAAATTGATTAAAAGTTAAGAAAATATTACTAATCCAATTCTCAAACGAGCCCATAATCATTTTTGTCTCCTTATATTTAATTTATAGTTACACTATACTTTAAATTTTAAAATCATCATTTTATTGCAATATACCTTTTGTAATTTATAATATATCTTTTTTACTATTTCATATAAATTAAATAAGTATATTTATTTATATAAATACATTTATTTAAATCACATCACCACTCTAATTTTTTATATATCTTTTCATAAAAATTCAAAAAATAAATTTATTTAAATTCTTCCAAACAACCCTTATATTTTTTTTTTTACATATCTAACCTTTCAAATTCTTACTCCATGCCCCTCCCGACCACGGAAACTACACTATTACCACAATCAGTCCCTCAAACACAATAACCCATCCTCCTCTAGCTCTCTACTATTGTGACCCATCACACCCAAGCTCCATTTTATTGCAACACTGCCCTTCTACCATTGCAATCGTCATCTGTAGCTGCCCTCCCATTGCAACCAGCCTCTCAGCCTAGTCCACCGGGGCTTTTCTCAAAATAAGTCAAAATACCAAGCTATTTTCTAAACTAGGCTTAGTTCAGACGGAATTCTCAAAATACGCTAAAACGTGGTTACAAACCACGCTTTTACCATTTTTGTGGTCCTCCCGTAAAAAATTTGTAAAATCGTAAAAGTATGGTTACAAACCACGCTTTTAAGTATTTTTTTTTCTTCAGAAAACGTGATTAGAAACCACGCTTTTAATTAAAATATAAAAACGTATTTTGAAAACACGTTTTCAATAAAAACACAAACTCTTCACTCTCACACTCACACACACTCTCTCTCTCTCTCTCTCTCTCTGACACACACACACACCCACCACACTCACACACTCATATCTTTTTAAGATATATAAATTTTATTTTATAAATTTGGGACCAATATTAAGGGTTGGTTTGGGATGTCCTTAAAAAGTGCACTTTTTGACTTATTGGTGGGTTTGGGTTGGGTTTGGGTTGGGTTTGATGTGATGTGTTAGAGAGGTGATGTGATTTAAATAAGATGATGTGACTTAAATAAGATAGTGACTTTTTGACTTATTTAGTACATGCCAAACTAGCCCTAAATATATATAATAATAATTTATAATAGCAAATAATAATCAACTATATAATTTTTATAATTTTTGTAAATATAAATCATTTTTATATAATTTTTATCTTTCGAGTGGTTATAAATAATTATTTATGTATGGGGAGCAAATATTCCACGAAGCCCGTACTCCTTTCGTCCAAGCTCCTTGTTTGTCTGATCGACCTGCGTGCACAACGGCGTTGAGCTACCCGACGATGTGTGGCCGGAAAACCCCTCTGACGGTCAAGTTAGCTCACATTTATTGAGAGAGAAGAGAGATATATCACAATGAGTGTTTTACCAAATGATGTTTCATCCCCAGCATGGGGGGCGCAGCCGTGCTTATATACCTTCTGCGCTCAAATCTATTCCCATTAGTCTCTTGACATATGGTGCCGCTTTCCCATCTGTCAGCACAAATCCAGCAATCACCACCTAACCAAACCGCCAGACCACATTAGTGGGAGCTCGGCAGCCCGGCAACATCACCTCGGCTTAACACCACCGCGCTGCATAATGAATCTGAGTGCTCCACTCGCCGAGTTACATAACGACCGAGCTCGTCTACATTCCGGCATAGTCGAGTTCAAGTTAGGTTGAGCCGGTAACCGAAGGCCTTTCTGCCGAGCTAAACGCGCGGACCGTGGAATCTGGAATGGCAGGCTATCATCTTGGTCGAGACGCGGGCCTGATCCTCGACCAAGCAAAACTGACTTTGGACATAGACAAGCCCAAGTAGCTCGGTCCCAACACGGTCTTGGGCCTCGTTCCAACAAAACCATCTCTGGACAGGCCCAAGCTATCTCAGCCCAAACATGCTCGGCGCCCAACTTGCCCGGCCTCTACCATGGCCCATTCCAGCTCATAAATCTCCCTTTCAATTGCCCCTTAATTTCGTCCGCGAAAGCGAGACTGGGATTACATGATCCGTCCGGGGTAAACTCCTCATCGGTCCTCAGTATGCAAGACAGTAACCGCGCTAATCACCATGCCCGGTTTCTTTGCTTGTTCGGTTGACGCCTTAACTTGCTGTCTTGTCTCTTCAATACTGACGACGCCGCCATTATGAACACACGTCGTGCATTTATTGGCCTTGAGCAGCCAACCCAAACGTCATTTTATATTCAAATTTTGGCTCCCTTTTTCTCTTACATATACACCTTTCCCTCCTTTCATTTCCTCCTTACTCACTCTCTTCTGTTCCAGACGACCTAAAGTTGCAGTGCCCTCATCAAGCTCCATTCTTGCCCTCCTCTGCGTTCGTGTTCGAGGAACCAACTCTTACCTCTATACTGGTAAGCTCTTCGAATCTCTTTATAGCTTTTCCCTATGGTATTTCACGTTTTAAGACACAAAAACCATAGATTTTAGGGTATAGCTCCCCAAAACCCACCTCTACCCATGTTCCCTTTACTGTTCTTCAGCCTCAATGATGAACACATAAAGATCTGGAGCGGACCGGGCTCCAGGTCTTCTTTTGATCCCAAAAAACATCCAAACCGAGCAATTTGCGAGTTTGCAAAAACTTCTGTAGGAACCGAGGTAGGCAAAGGGCTCGACCGCTCGATCGGGCTAACATCTGGTCCGCTTGAACGGCTGAGCTTCTGGATTTACCTTCGTGACCGATGTGTTCTGGCACTTCATCTGACCGAGCTAAAGTCAAGCTCGTTTTGCGTGACCGCGCTCCCACTTACACTTACCCTCCTTTTCCTGCAGAGTCTAAGGGGACAACACACCAACATCGAGGCTCTCAAAGACCAAGCAGCCACCAAACCAGAGTTTGTGCCAAACCACCTCAGCCGCGCTAAAACCAGCCGGCTACGCATGGGGCGCTACCGCTTCTTGGTCGACACGCCGGTCGCTCTAGCCGCGTTCCGGGAAGAATACGGTATCCCAGCCGACATGCATCTCGAGCTCGGTGCCGAGGAAACAACCCCCTGGGGCAGATTAGACCAGTGCCCTTTCACCGTGCTCTCCATAATAGAAGCTAGCCTCTGTTTCCCGGTTAACCCCCTTTTGTGCGAGTTCTTGCAGCGCACCGGGCTAGCACCAACCCAAGTCTCAACCAACACGTACAGGATAATTAATGAGATCCACGATCTAAACAACCGGCTAGGAACCAACCTAGGATTAGCTGAGATACTCCGTCAATATACCCTCGGGCATACAAGCGACGGCCTTGCCTACTATTTAAAGATCAGACCGGGCAAGAAGAAAATAGTGACCGATACTCCGGACAAAGACTTGCACGATGATGACTTTTTCTGGGTATCCGGTAATTATGAAACAGCCGACGTGCCGGGCTGGTATATCAACAAAAATTTCGGCGAAACATATAAGCCGTGATTACTGCTCGGTCAAATCACTTTCTTTCTATACTCTATACTTAATGTCTTTTCTTCCTTTCTCTTTGCAACCATCGAAGCTTTGCCAGCCAACTATCATTGTCCCAACGAAGTAGCCATTAAAACCGTGCTGCGGCACCGTAACCGAGA